TCCCTGGCAGCCAATCGGGAGGCGGGAGAAGGCCGCCTCCGGTTAGCCCGCGTTTGGGGCGTGACGTCACTGGGCTCGCGTCTCGCGGGCTCCGGGGTGCGCGGTCGGCGTCCTCCCCGCGGCCCTTGTGCCCCGGCCGTCTCTCCGCCGGCGGCGAGACTCTGAGCGCAGCACTCAGCAAGCACTTCGCTTCGCAAGGACAGGTGACCCGAGTGGGCCGGCCAGCGCCACCCGGCTGGACGCTCGGGCGGCCGGGGCCTTTTGGACTCGATGGGTGTCCGTAGTTGGGGCGGCTACCGGACCGCGGGGGATTGTGGACTTTATAGTTCTGGATGCATTCTGGGTGGAACCCAGGCTGGAGCAGGACAGGGATTTTTGGAGGAAACAAACAAATAAGAACTTTGAGGCCCAGGTCCCAGAAGGACAGGAAAGGAGTCTAAATAAGAATATACCATTAGCATTGTTTTGATTTTTTTTTTTTCCAGGTGCCATCTCTTTCCGACACAAACTGTTTACCCACGAGGGAAGGGACCAGGCAGCGAAATGGAAACGCTACCAATCAACCTAGTGGGAGAGAAAAACACCTCTCAACCGCAACAACAGTGGGGAAGGAACCCCAAGAAGAACCTTAATTCAACTGATCAGATTAGGCAGCAGCCCCAAGAACCTCCTACTGAAGTTCTTGAACCAAGAACGAGCCCAGATCCAGCCAGCCAAATTCTAGAGAATCCTCAAGGAACTGAAAAACTGGCTGCTGAACTTGAAGAAGACTCCGTTAAGTCTCATGGATCAGCTAGTGAGGTGCCAGAGCCCCTCCAAATTTCCGATCTCTGGAACTGTCCGGATGGGAGCTTTGTCAAGAAGATCATAATCCGTGGCCATGGCCTGGACAAACCCAAGCTGGGCTCCCGCTGCCGGGTACTGGCTTTTGGGTTTCCTTTTGGGTCAGGGCTGCCAGAGGGCTGGACAGAGCTAACTATGGGGTTAGGCCCATGGAGGGAGGGAAGCTGGGGGGAGCTCATAGAGAAATGCTTGGAATCCATGTGTCAAGGTGAGGAGGCAGAGCTTCAGCTCCCTGGGCACTCTGGACCTCCTCTCAGGCTCACACTGGCTTCCTTCACTCAGGGCCAGGACTCCTGGGAGCTGGAGGCCAGCGAGAAGGAGGCCCTGGCCAGGCAAGAACGTGCCAGGGGCACAGAATTATTTCGAGCTGGCAACCCAGAAGGGGCTGCCCAATGCTATGGACGGGCTCTTCGGCTGCTGCTGACTTTACCTCCACCTGGCTCTTCAGAACGAACTGTCCTTCACGCTAACCTGGCTGCCTGCCAGTTGCTGCTAGGGCATCCTCATTTGGCAGCCCAGAGCTGTGACCGGGTGCTGGAGCGGGAGCCTGGGCATTTAAAGGCTTTGTACCGAAGGGGGGTTGCCCAGGCTGCCCTTGGGAACCTGGAAAAAGCAACTGCTGACCTCAAGAAGGTGCTGGCGGTAGATCCAAAAAACCGGGCAGCCCAGGAGGAGCTGGGAAAGGTTATCTCTCAGGGGAAGAAACAGGATGCAGGGCTGGCTCAGGGTCTCCGCAAGATGTTTGGCTGATTAAAAGTTAAACCTTAAAAGAGACAGGAACCTGTGAATCGTGGTCTGTGCTGTGAGATTTGGGGAGGCGGGGGCAGAGGGAGGGTTTCAGCCCATATCCCATTCCCAGCTTTTGCCTTCCTAGGGGAGATAGCAGTAGCCTCCGTGCACCTCTTGCCCTTCTTTACCCTTACGAAGTCATGGTCACATGTGCTATACTTTAGGGGGCTTACCCATGTTCAAAGAGGAATAGAAGCTGTCTGAACTCCTAAAATCTAGAACTGGCTGGGGGAGCGGGCGGACCTTTAGAGCCCGGGAACTACATCTCCCAGGCGCTTTCTGGCCGGGTCTCCTCCGCGCATGCGCAAGTGCCGGCCCCGCCGCGCTCCCATTGGCCCGGCCTGTAGAGCCGCCCCTTCTGCGGACGCAGGTGCTCAGCGCCCGGGGCTCCTACTGGCCGGAATAGCTTCCGGGGCGTCTCCGGTTTTGAAGCGTCTGCTCTTTAGTTGCTGAGGGCGAGAGGCGGGCCTTGGGAACCGGCTCATGGTTGGGGGGCGGGGGAAAGATGGCGGAGCTCATGCTCCTCAGCGAGATTGCGGACCCGACGCGATTTTTCACGGACAACTTGCTGAGCCCGGAGGACTGGGGTGCGTGGAAGGAGGCCTCGGGGACGGGAAGGCTGTGGCGTCCTGTGCCCGGAGGCACGGGGCGAGGAAGCGGAGCCCCAAAGAGGAAGGCCGGGCAACTACGAACCCACCTTCCGAAGGAGGGCGGAGCGGGGACGCCGCCGTGCCTTCGGGGGTGCGGGAGTTGGGGGAGACCGCCGCTTCCCGCAGCAACGTCGAGTTGTTCCGGGGTCGGGAAGGAGGGACTGAAGCAGTTGGGCTGTATCACTTTTCAAGTGGGCGGGCGGTGGGTCCGGCCGCGCAGATCCAATGAGGCTGGAGCGAGGGCTGTGTGGACCGGCGGGCCGGGCCCCCGGACAGCCCCCGACACCGCGCCTCTTGCAGACTGCGCCCTGTACACCGGCCTGGATGAGGTGGCTGAGGAGCCGACGCAGCTCTTCCGCTGCCCGGAGCAGGACGTCCCGGTACTGCTCCCGGCAGCCTTGGCTCTTCCCCTCGGAGGGTGGGAGTGGCCCCAGAACCTGGGCTCATCCCCAGGCCAGAGCTCCTTTGGAGCCATCCGTTCTCTCTCACAGTCCTGCCACCCAGTATCCTCCCTTTTCAGTTTGGCAGCAGCATGCTGGATGTGGGGATGGATGTCAGCCCCCCCGAACCTCCATGGGACCCCCTTCCTATCTTCCCGGGTAAGATACCTATCGTATGGGATTCCTTCAGCCTTCCAGAAATCCTTATCTTCCCCGTTTCCCAGAAACCATGCAACCCCGTGTCCTCACACCTCCACACGAGTGCCCTTTAACACCTTACCTGTGTTCCTCCCGCCTTGGCGGGGTGAGGACCCCTCACTTGCATGTCCTTGGGCACTTTTTGGACTCTTCTCAGGCTCTACCTCCTAGTTATTTTCTAACCCCTTTTCCACCAGATCTTCAAGTGAAGTCTGAACCATCTTCTCCCTGCTCTTCCTCCTCTCTCAGCTCCGAATCCTCGCTTCTTTCCACAGAGCCCTCCAGCCAGGTGAGAAAGCCATCTCCCCACTTCTTCTCTCAGTGGCAAGGACTCTGCTCCACTCTTGCCTCCTATAGGTGCTGAGGATTGATTTGTGTGTGGGGTGGGGGAGCTTCTTCCCTCCCTTTGTCATTTCTTTAACATTCTCATTTGCTACATCACCATTCTGGTTTCTAGAAGTTAAAGTGGAATCTTTTTAATATATAGAGATATGTGGCACCGTGCTGGGGCTGAGAATTCTGCCCAAGTTGTCCACTCTAAGGCAATATTTGAAATCATGAGATGTTATCAATCCTCCAAGGAATAAAGCAGAAGGAGAGAACCGGGGGCCAGAGACAGCTTAGGGAGATGCCAAGTACCATTCGAACCAGAATGTCAGATAATTAGCGTTTGTAAGCTGTGAAGCTTTTGTTCTTGCTCTTACTCTTGACACCTTCCTTGTTTTCTTTTCTTCTTTTTCCCCCCCTGCTTCCCATCTACTCTCACCCAGGCCCCTGGTGTAGGGGAGGTACTAGTTGTGAAGATAGAGTCCTTGGCACCCCCACTCTGCCTCCTGGGAGATGATCCAACATGCCCGACTGAAACTGTCCAGATCAATATGGGCCCCACCTCTGATGATCCCTCAGGTAATAACAGCCTGCCCCCACCCCCAGGCTTTACCAGGTAGAGCATGTGAGCATTTGTGAGCATGTATATGTGCGTGGGGGGGGGGGGTCAGGTAGCCAGACAAGGAGGAAAAGGTGGGAGGGGAAATGGCAGATAACCAGGAGAGAGGCGAGGAGTGGGAGGGAGAATTTTAGGAAACCACAGCAAGGGCAGCACTGAAGAGATGGGTGTGATTTTGCTTTTTTTTTTTTGTTCCTAGTATCCTGTGGTATAATTTAACTTCCTGTTGCTTTGCGTGTTTTAAAGACTTTGGATAGTTTAGGAAGTATTTATTTATGTTATTTTTTCACTCTAACGTGTTATTATAAAAAATCTTAAACGTACAGAAAAGTTGGAATGCTATGTACCCAACTCCTAGGTCTTACAACTAACATTACTTATGCTATTTTTTCAGTGTTATCGGGTCTAGGCACCCTTTTGTGTTTATTCAGTAAACATTTATTGAGCATCTACTCCATGCCATGTACTGGACAAGATGCTGGGAATGTAAAGATGAGAAAGACATGACCAACACTGACTTGAGAATCTTGTAGTGTGGTGGGGGAGAAAGACAGGTACCAGTCCACATAGGTGTGGTCATTGTAGGATAGAGGTCATCATAGGGTGCTGGGCATCTCACCTAGTGGGGATGAATCAGGGATATGCTGCTAGACGACATGTTTCCTGTGCTGAGTTTTGAAGGACACATGGAAATTAGCCAGAAGGAGAGTATGGAGATTGACAAGTGTATCTCTTCAGAGTAGATATGAGCAGGGAATGGGGAATGGCAAGGAGCTGTAGAGGCTGCAGAGCCAGGTGGGAACCCTGCTAAGGGACTCTTGGCTTTTATCCTGTGTGCAATTGGGAGCCTTTGAAGAATCAAGTAGGAGAGCAGTATGATTAGGAAGATATCTCTGGTGGCGGAGTAGAGAATGGATTGCAGAGAGGCAGCACTGGAGGCAGGAGGCAGAGGACCAAGGAACAGGTTCCTGGAGTTAATCGAGTAAGGTATTTGGATGCCGAGAAGAAGGCAAAAAGAATGAAGTAGAATGGATGAGTTGCAGTGACGTCCTGGGCATTGGGCAGGAGTCAAATAGAATGCCTGGGTTTCTGGCTGGGGCAGTCATCCAGTGGGTGACGGTACTGTTCACTGGATAGAGACTGTAAAAGCAGGAGCCCTCTGATCAAGGAGCACGATGAATTCAGGGTTGGACAGGCTGATTGTTAATTTCAAAGTGCCTTCAGGGTTTCCTGGCACTGCTTCTCCAACCAAAAGCAAGAGGGCAAGGTATTCTAGTGATGTAATCCATTCATTTTTCCTCCTGGGGCTCATAGGACAGGGAATGATGGAGAGTGCATTTGGAGGAACAAACAGATCGTAACCAGTACTTTACTAAAAGTTACAAAGAAGACAAACGAATTAAGGATTGAAAAGCCTTTGACGGCAAAAAGATTGTTGATGACTTTGCAAACAGTTGTGTTACTGGAGTCAGATTCTCCCCTATGACTTATATTTTTGGAGGGCCTGTACTTTACTCATCACTTTGATAGACATGAGGCATAAGACAGGGTCCTTGCTTTTGGAGAGTTTCATGTGGGTTATAACCTATAGTTAATAGCTCAATTAGTGGTTACCCCTCAGGATGGGATCTGCATGGCTGGTGGACAAGGAAGGGAAGGAGATTTACTTTTCACTGAATTCCCCTTTGTTCCTTTGGGATTTTTGTATCACATGACTGTATTGCCTATTCAAAAATATAAATTGATTTGAAATTTTAGAATAGCAGTATTGGTGATCATATAATTAAATACCAAAATGAGTGGTATGGACCAGAGGTAGTGCCAGACTATTGACCTTGGGGCTGAATCTGGTCCTCAGATGAGTTTTATTTCACCTACGTGGGGCAATCAACTGGTGTTACAGATAGATTTAACAGAGGCCATGAAGGCTCAGGTGATTGAGGCTCTGTAATTTCATGTCTGGGAAGCTGCCAGACGTAGGAAGGGAAATGTGTGAAAGGACAAACAGTGAGCTCTGTGTAAGTCTAGTTGAATTTGTGTGAATGGTGGGGCATGAGAATAGAAGTGACCAGCAGGGAGCTTGGGAGTCAGGATCAGGGTGCAGGGGATCCATCATGGGCCGAGACACAGAATTGGCAGTGGTCAGCATGGAGATGTGTGATAACACTGGGCCAGGGCAGATGAGAATCCAGCCAGGCAGGAGTGTGGCCCATAGGAATGCTGCAGACTCTCTCTGCTTGTGCCTCCTCTATGTGAATTGACCAGGTCTGTGAGGAAGAAACGGATAGCAGAGGGCAAAGATAGCCTTGAGGAAAACTGAGCAGTGGTGAGAAAAATGAAGGAGCTCTGAAGAGGAAAGCTGGGTAGAGGTGGAGGAGAGCATACAGACAGCAGCCCCAGGGCACCTCCACCTTCTGGATTGCCTGCCTAGGGCCAGAATAACTTTATTTGTAGGTACAAGGAGAAATGACCATGTCCCCATTTTCCCATCTTAACCTTCTCCACTGTTTATCTGACATCCAGCTGTTTGTCTCATCCTGCCACCCTACAGGTGTCCAGACCAAGACAGAACCTGTCTCTCCATCTTCCTCCATCAACTCTGAGGCTTCCTTGGTCTCCGCAGATTCCCCCAACCAGGTGAGCATCAATGCCCCACTCCAGGCACTGCAGTGACTTCCTTTCTCACTCTCTAAGGTCGGAGAGCTTTTTCTTCTTCAGCTCCTTCTCCTTGGCACACCTCACTCACAGGTTTTCTGGAATGCCCCATAGACTTTTATAGGAAAGGAGGTACTGGAAGTGAAGACAGAGTCTCCAGCTCCTCAAGGGTGTCTCCTACGGGATGTCCCAGGCCCCCCGCTTGGAGCTGTCCAGATCAGCATGGGTTCATCCCCCGATGGCTCCTCAGGTAATGGGGTCTCCTACACGGGTCTCTGGCAAAAGGCCTACAGTGCTGACATTCCTTCTTCCTTTCACCTTTTCTCAGGCAAAGCCCTGCCTGCCCGGAAGCCACCACTGCAGCCTAAACCTGTGGTGATAACCACTGTCCCAGTGCCACCTAGAGCCATGCCTCCCAGCACCGCTGTCCTTTTGCAGCCCCTTGTCCAGCCACCTCCAGGTATTGAGGAAGGAAAGAAGGAGTTGGGCTGGATTGACTTTCTAAGGGAGCTCACAGCCACTGAGGCCCTTGGGTGCTTAGGTGTGGACACAGAACCCCACTTCACTTACAGCTCTCTGACCTCTTTCTCCTGCTCACTTGTCCCAGTGTCCCCAGTTGTCCTTATTCAAGGTGCTATACGAGTCCAGCCTGAGGGGCCAGCCCCCCCTGCTCCACGGCCTGAGAGGAAGAGCATTGTTCCAGCTCCTATGCCTGGGAACTCCCGCCCACCTGAAGTGGACGTAAGTATTTGGGAGCAGAGAAGTAGGGCTAGTAATGGGAATGGAAGAGGGAAGTCTGTTGTGGAAGGGAACTGTGGAATGAAGAGAGAGCAAAAAGGGAGGAAGCAGACCCTTAAGATGATCCTGAAGGTCAGAGTGGACCCCTCTTTATGTACAAGTATCAGCTTTATGTGGTTTTAGGGTCCTTCTGTTTGTTTTCAAACTGCAGATGGTGAAGTGGGGGTGGTCTCAGTAAACCAAAGGCAGAGGAGTCATTCTGTGTTGTGGTTGTGGCAGTAGTTGGAAAAGGGAGGCTGCTTCCTCTAGGGGAAAGCCAGTTAGCAAGGTTAAATTTCAGGTCGTAAAAAGGAGAACTGAGAAGAGAAACTAGTCACCAAGGAGAGGAACTGAGGTCCCACTGGGAACCAGGATGGAGGACGTTCTTCCTACAGTCTAACTTTTCTCAGCTCTGAGGAACAGGAGCAGGGAGTGGTTAGGTGAGGGACCCACTCCCTGAAATGTTTTAGGAGAGGGAATACCCCTCCTCCTCTCATGCTGTGAGCAGGGTCAGGAAGGCAGGAGAGTGGCCCCCAGGAGCTTTGGGTAATCAGCCTCTGGAGTTGAGGGGCATGGTTCCCCTCCCCTACACATTTTTCATTCTCCTGTTAACCCTCTGGCTACCTAGGCCAAGCTGCTGAAGCGGCAGCAGCGAATGATCAAGAACCGGGAGTCAGCTTGCCAGTCCCGGAGGAAGAAGAAGGAGTACCTGCAGGGGCTGGAGGCGAGGCTGCAGGCTGTCCTCGCTGACAACCAGCAGCTGCGCCGGGAGAATGCTGCCCTCCGGCGGCGGCTGGAAGTCCTGTGGGCCGAGGTGAGACTTCTGTCCTTGGGAGACCAAATACAGGCTCCTTGGGAGTACTCACCCACACTCTCTTGTCTCTTCCTCTGTGCCTTAGAACAGCGAGCTCAAGTTAGGGTCTGGAAACAGGAAGGTGGTCTGCATCATGGTCTTCCTTCTCTTCATTGCCTTCAACTTTGGGCCTGTCAGGTGAGACCCTCCTTGCTCCCCAGAACCTTGCAGAACCCCCAACCACCTGACTGATTGCTGTTTAGGTGCCCCCCCTTTATCCCACTCACACAGAGACAGCTGTGGTGTCCCCGGCACAGGGGTGTACCCAGCATTCCCTTCTTGTTCCATCATTAATCTCATAAATGGTACATCCTGGGGTAGGTGGTGCTGAGAGATTTAAGTGCTTCCTGAGATCTAGGCTCTAGGGTAAGCCTCTCCTTTTGTTTCCTGGGCCTATGAGGGAGGGACCCTTCTCATTCCATCTAACTGGTGAAGAGAGTCAATCTTGTAGAGCAGGTGGGCTATCTTCAGAGCCCATGCCCTTAACTAGCCCCTCAATAAAGCTGGTATTCTCCCTCGTGCTCTGTCCTTCCCTGTCCTCAGCATCAGTGAGTCTCCTTCAGCTCCCGTCTCTCCTCGGATGAGTGGAGAGGAGCCTCTACCCCGGAGACACTTGCTGGAGTTCTCAGCACAGTTACCCGTTCATGGAGCTGAGCCCCTCCAGGACTCCTCCCAGGGCCCCGAGGAGCCCCAGGCCAGCTTCAAGGGCCGGCCAAGTTTCAGGTGAGGAGAAGGTCCTCTCTCTCTTGGGGGTGCTGTGTATCTTCCCCACATTCACCATTCCTTTTTGAGGGAAGCCAGTTGCTCCAGCATCACAGCCTTCCCTGCAGGCGTGCTGGGCAGCTGCGATCACTGCCTCCTCCCTGCCTTGTTCCAGGAACCTGACAGCTCTCCCTGGGGGTGCCAGGGAGCTGCTGCTGAGAGACCTGGACCAGCTCTTCCTCTCCTCGGACTGCCGGCACTTCAACCGAACCGAGTCCCTGAGGTGCGGGGGACCCACGGCTGGGCACCTCCCCTGCCATTCATTCTGTCCCTGTGTTCTGGAGCACCATCTCTCCTTCCTGCTCTGCTCCCTCCTGTGTGTGGGCAAGGAAAGTGGGAGCCTTGGCCTGGCACGGAGGTGCTCCCCTCCTCTGCTTCCCCAGGCTTGCTGATGAGCTGAGCGGCTGGGTGCAGCGCCACCAGAGAGGCCGGCGGAAGATGCCCCGGAGGGCCCAGGAGAGACAGGGAACAAGGGAACGTTCTGGGGGTTTTGAGGATCAAGTCCTTGTAGAGGTTTGAGGGATTGTTGAGGAATTGGCAGGGTGGGTGTGAGGTGGTGTCACCTTCCAGGGGTCGTCTCTCTTTCGTTCCTCCCTTCGCCACCTTCAGATCCTTAGACACTTCTCCTTCCAGAAGTTTCAGGGATGGAAGAAGTTGCCTCCAGTTAAGGCAGTCCCCACTCAACCCCCGGGGCCCCCAGAAAGGTGAGTCTGGGGGGCTTTCTTATTAAGTGGAGCTCCATTCTGAAGAGCTATACCCCCAAGAGCTGGCCTGTGCTGTCACCACTACCACCAATGGCATTATGCCTCCCTGGTCCACTGGGGGTCTCCTATCTCTTTCTCTCATCTTCTCCCGCTTCCCCAATGGGAATGGGGTACTGGGCTGTTCCTCCCAAATCCTGTTTTCCCACCTCCCTAGGGATTCTGTGGGCCAGCTGCAGCTGTATCGCCACCCGGACCGTTCACAGCCAGAGTTCCTAGATGCAATTGACCGACGGGAAGACACATTTTATGTTGTCTCCTTCCGGCGGGTAAGCTCCTCCCGGCCCATCCCCATCACCCTGGGTGTCCCGGCAGTGTGTGTCCAGGTTGAGGCTGAGGAGTAGCTCCATGTCTTTTCCTCCACCCTCCCCGCCAGGACCACCTGCTGCTCCCAGCCATCAGCCACAACAAGACCTCTCGGCCCAAGATGTCCCTGGTGATGCCCGCCATGGCCCCCAATGGTAATTCCTTCCCTACCGGGTATGGAGAGGGGTCCTGAAATTAAGGAGAGGGCGCACTCAGATAGGGATACCCAGCATGAGGAGCCGAGGGGATGAGGGGAGTGGGACATTCCAGAGAGATGCTAGATTCCTGGGGAGAAGAAGCAGGAAATGGGTGCGGAGCAGAACAGATGCAGGCGGCTGATGGGAAGAAGGCAGGTGTGGTCTGCCCGTGGTGAGGGGGCTTGGGTAGGTGCTGGGCTGAGGGGCGGGCTGGGAACCTGCCAGGCTCTCACCTCCTTTTTTTTCTTGATGTCCTCTCCTCTGTGACCTCACATTCATCACTGTCATTCTTTTCCTTCCTTTCCCTCACCCTGCACCGACTCCATCCCTGCCTTCTCACTAACTCCTGCTGTGGATCCGCCTGGTCCCCACTGCCCTTTCTTCCCTGTCCACTCCCGCTTTTCCAACCCCCCCTCTCTGATTTCCGCCCCTTTCTCTTCCTCAACTCCTCCTCACAGAGACCCTGTCAGGCCGGGGTCCCCCTGGGGACTATGAGGAGATGATGCAGATCGAGTGTGAGGTCATGGATACCAGGGTGATTCACATCAAGACCTCCACGGTGCCCCCCTCGCTCCGAAAACAGCCGTCCTCCACCCCGGGCAATGCCACGGGTGGCCCTCTGCCAGGTTCTGCAGCTGGCCAGGCCCCCCAGGCTCCCCACCGGCCCCTCTACCTCAATCACCCCTGACCTCTGCCTTTCCTGCTGACTTAGGACTGGGCAGGGAGGGGTTACAGATGGGACTGTATTTCCCTGATCCCTGGGCTTGGGCAATTAGTAATGGAAGGACTGGGAGTGGGGGTTAAGCACTTATTTAGAGGTGAAGGGGCTCACCTCTTACCCCTTTTTGGAATATAGGGCTCCTCTCATTTCTTTGAACCCCCAGCTCCTGCTGCTTTCTTTGAGGGTATTGAGTGAGGGTAAGGTTTGGGGTGGGTGGGCTGGCTCTTGACTCTTTCGCTTCTCTGTTTGGGGTGTGGAGGTGGGACTGTGGTCCCTAGGTGGGACAAGGGCCATTTTTACATGTTGGAGTGTGTTTCTGGGTGTAAAGGAAGGGCAGTGGGAAAGATCAGATTTATGTATGTGCATATCTTTTTAAAATTATTATTACTAAATAAACAACTTGGAGGGAGTTAAAAGGAATGGTGGCTACCTTCCTGGCTCATGATGGGGCATTTGGGGGAACGGCTTCTCCAGGCCAGGGTATCAGAGTTAAGCACAGAAGACAGCTGGCTCTGGGGTGGGCTGGGTGTGGGATCACAGACCTCATGTCGTCCCCTTGCCCTGTAGCACATGTATGTCTGTGGGCGGGGTTGGGTGGGGGAGGGATGTCCCATGGTGTCACAGCCAAGAGGATACAGATCCTGGAATGTGTCTGAGTAAACAGGAAGGACAGGGGGCCCCACGCCCTTTGGAGTGAGCAGCCTCCCTGGGTCCCCTGCATTCTACCAGGTTCCCCCTCCCCTCACTTTCCAGGACAAACAACTGAGCTGGGGCCCCAGGGCTGTGAGCCAGAAAGGAGGGGCCATAGTGGAGAAGGGGCTGTGTTTGGCAAGGAGGGGCTGTTGAGCATCATCTGTCTTAGCCCAGAACTGGAGGAGACTGAGACCAGAGGGTCCAGTTGAAAGGAAAGGACAAGAGCGGGTACTGGCAAGGCTGTGCTTTCTAATTAGGAGGAAGGGGAGCAGGACAAAGGGTAGGGGGCAAGTCTCACCCAACCTGTGGGGATCCCCGTCAGTGGCTCCTGTCCAGCAGCTCCTCTGACTCCTGCAGGAGTGCCCTGGGTCAGCAGCAGGGTGTGGGCTGGGGCTGGGCTCAACGCCCAGATGACTGGACAGGGGCCACCTGGGCCACAAGCCCAGGCCTGAAGGGGGAGGAAGAACCTCACGTGTCCAGCCAGGCCCCCCCTCCCCATTACTGTGTTTGGGGAGAAAACAGAGTAACTGTGGCAACCTGGAACAGTGCTGTCCCCCTTGAGGGCAGCCTGGCTCCTCAGCCAGCACTTCCTGTCTCAGGGTCCCTCAGCCTTACCCAGGCAGCGAGAGCAAGGACCACCCGAGCCGGCCTTTCTCAGTGGCTGTCCTCGTTATGTAACTAAGCCTTGGTTTCCTCCTGTTAAATGGGATATCTGTACCTACTCTCAGGGTTGATGTGCGGGAGAAAGATGCTGTTCATATTGCCTGGTGTGTAGTAGACACACCTTTCCCTCCGTGCTCCTTGCTCCATTTACATTGTCCTTTTCTCTGGTCTGCTTTTATGGGGGGGAGGGGGAGGCCTTTGGGGTAGCACTTGCAGCTCCTATGGCTGAGTGACAAGGGACAGCTGCACTTGGTGCGAACCGGGAGTCAGACTCTCTTGGCTGGGTGGGAGAGTGGGTGGTAGGAACAGTAAGAGGCGTGGAGAGTGGTGTGCCAGGGTGGTTGAGGAAGGACAGTCTCTGGGCTGCCGCCCTCGCCCTTGGGGCCCATAAAGATCTCCAGCCACAGCCCCTGTCCAGGGCCACCTCAGCCTACGGCCACTGTCACTGCTGCACCTCCATAGGCCCTTCCTGTCTCAGGCCCTTTGACTTTGTGATCTGCTGTTTTACTTCCTCGGTATCCTGCCCTTTGTTCTTATCACTGCTGACCCATTGTCTCTACTCTTATTTGCTCTAGATTTCTCTCCTACCTTTCTTTGCCCTCTACCCACCAGGACTCACCTTCTCCTTCTGACCCAGTCGCTGTTCTCTGCTCATCTTTTTGTTTCCTGCCTCTCTGGTGTTTTCCCTTCCTCCTCTGCCTCACAGCCTTCCTTCCTTTTTTCTTGCTCCTCTCACCTCCTGCTGCTGAGCCTTTGCTGCCTCCTCCCTTTCATGCCACCCTGCCCCCATTTCCCTTTCCACTGCTTCCTCCACACGCTCCGTGACTTCCTCTCTCCTCCCGCCTCAGCCCCCCTCCCCTTCACTTCCCACCCAGTCCTCTATTCTCCCCAGCTGTGGGGCCAGACTGGAGAGCTGAGCGTTTGCCTCATCGTTCTGCTATGGCTCTGGATACAGCACATCTGGATTCAGGGGCCCAGATGTGTGGTTGCCACAGCGACCTCAGTCCCTCTGGTAAATACGGGCGCCCACCCGCCTGAGAGCAGAGAACAAAACAATTGTGTGACTTTGTTTTGTCACGAGATAGAAATGTCCTCCCTCCTCCCTTCTCCCCACACCCACATCTCCAGGCAGAGGAAGCTCTGAGGGTCCAAACTTTCTTCCTGTGGCTCTCTTGCCCCAGTTCAGCCCAGGCCTCTTAATTCTCTCCCATCTTCATCTCAGACTCAGTCTTTTCTCTCCATGTTCTTCCTCTCCATCTCCCAGCCCCAAATCTCAATGATGAAATGTTGACCCCGTCTTATACTTGGCGATTTCTTCTGACTGAATCTACGTAATGACGCAGGAAGCAGTTCCAGAAACTGAGATGGTCACCATCCGTTCTCAAGGAGTCCTTCCAGGGGCCCCTTCATTTGTGTCTGCCTCGAGTCTTCAGTCTTCCAGGGCTCCCCTTTGGGAAGGGAGAGAACACAGGCTTTGGCATCAGAGAACCTGCATTGAGGCCACCTTCACTGCCACTGGCAGAGTCCCTTGAACAAGTCTCTCCCGTCTCTGAGCCTCCGTTTCATAAAACGCCTGCACTGTGGGAAAGTGCTGTGTGCCGGCAGCTCAGGTCCAGATGTTCTGTCTTCCCCTCGCGGGGACCGCTTCCTTGGATCAGAGCCCCTGGCTTGCCCTCCCCCCTCCTTCCCCTTCAGGTCCTTGCCCTTAATTGCCCTCACTCTCCTTGTCTTCCTTCCCTTCTAGCCTTTCCCTCCCTCCCTCTCCATGTCTACCCTTATCCTCACAAGGTCAGGACAGGAACTTGGAGGTTCATTCAAGGATGGAGACCTGGAGCTGAAGTCACTGGACCAGGGTTCAGACAACAGCAGAGCATGTGGACAGTTCTCGACAATACCCCTTTCTGCCTGCCACCCGACACCTCAGTGAAGGTGACCCACTTGGACCACTAGGCTCCCCTGCCTTACGCCTGGGGCTCCCCTACCAGAAGCTCTCCCGTCTTCTCTCCCAGACCTTTCACAGTTCAGTGTCGACAGGCACTTAACCAGGCACCTGCTCTGCAAGGCCTGGCACTTTCCTGACATGCAAATGGGAGATAAGCTCCTGGGGGGACATGAGAGCCTGAAGTCTGGGGCTTCAAATCCAGGGCATCGAATCTCAGAACCTGAGTTGTGTCTGTGAAGCTTCCTCAGGTGCCTCGTGAGCTTGTAGATGTGCGGGGTCCATCTCCCTGGTGTGGACTTTGAGGGCCCTCCTTCCAGCCCCTGCTCCTCCTTAGGGTCTCCTGGCTACTCTGGGCCACCTATACTTGTGGTGGCCATACCTCCTAACTAAAAAACAACATATAAGACACAGGACCAAGAAAAATGGATATGACACAATTGCTAAAACCTGGAGCATTGGATAAGACTGTTCTCTGCAGTTGGCTCCCTATGTCCTGCTGTTCCAGACCCTCACCCACCCTCGCCCAGAGGTCTCAGGGCTGTGGGGGCTCCAGGCCAAGACAGCGGAAGGAAGCTGCGCCCAGCTTCATCCAAGATTCTGACTTCATCTTCCCCATCAAAGCCAGGAAAAAACAGACACACACCCAGACATACGGGGACACCCACGCAAGCCTATCCCCAGCCATGGGGAGCTCACTGGGCATCTGGCACAGCTACATGCTGGCCCAGTGTGCCCTGACCCAGCACCACACACCTGTGGCTGTTGGCACCTGTGCCCCAACCCAAGGGGCAGAATCCGGCACATCTAGGCCCTTGCACATCCTTTCTCCAATGACTCGCCAGTCTATCCATGAGGGGTGCAGCGGGATAGCAGGAACTCTGTCCTCTGTTCCCTCTGCCTGGCTACTTCTGTGTCAAGTGGGCTTCTCAGCCCCTGATCAGGGCAGCAGCACATGGGGACCCAGCAGCTGTGTGTGGGTGTGTTCGATGCCTGCTCTCAGGTGTAGGTCTTTGCATCTCCGCCTCCAGCCCCCAACTGTCCCTATCCTCCTGCTTCCCTGGAGCCTCCAGACAGTAGCCCTTCTGCTTTGCACAGCTCCACCCATACCTGCCTCTGATGCTCGATGCCTGAACTCCCCCTAACCTCAGGTTTCCCTCCATGGCTCTCCTGAACTCCAACTGCTTTCCCAAGTCTTTTACATCCTGGTGTTCAGCCAGTGACCGAGCCTCATCTGTCATTTCTGTGGGAATTCGCTGAGGTGGGAGCGTGGAAAGGGGGCAGCGATTGGAGCTGAGAAGAGGAGGTGGACTGAGCTGAGCTGGCAGGAGGAGCACAGGGCAGAGGAGGGAAGGATAGAGAGACCACTTGGCAGGGGGTAGAGCAGGGACTGCAGTCCTCAGGAGGCCCCATGCTGGGGAGGAATCTGGACTTTGGAGGGAAGTTTCCTTCTGCCATGCACCCCCAGGAGAGAATCGGTGAGGTGCGGGACAGATGGGGCAATGTGGCAGCTGGGAAGAAGGGGGAGGGGCGCAGGGGAGGAGGAGAGAGGGGGTCTGGATGTGGGGAAGGGTGTTAGTAAAGAGGAGAAAGCAGGTCTGAACAGGAGCAACAGGTGGAGAAATAGTGGGGGG